TGGGAGCTTGCGACACTGGCTATTTGTGTTGGACAAAATGATTTGCATAAAGGATGGTACCAGGAATATGAATCAAAACCATACCCTTTTTTTTTCCTTAAACAGTGGCAAAGTTTATATCTAATAATTCAAGTTCTGTGTATGTGGTTCCATGCTTTCTGATTCCAACAGGGACTTGAAATGGAAATGCCAAACCCGGTATGCAGGGCATGATGGATCACCATGTATGCATAGGAATAAAAGGGTTGTCATTGGAAGTAATTTTGCGTTGAATTACACAATGTGTAATCCAATTGAAATCAGCAGAACGGCACAAGGTGTAATGTAGTGTGCAAAACGTGATCCATTGCATGCAATTTCAACAACAGGGATACTGTACCACTCATCTAAGTAATGTGCTAAAATTGAATTTGTGAAAGGTAGAGGGAGAAGAATTGTGAAGAATGGATGTGTTTTATAATTGGGAAATACTCTTTCAGAAGGTGACTGACTATATATTTTTAAGGCTAACTTATTACACTTGGAAATTGTTTGCTTCGTAATAGTGCTGCCAGACCCTCGAAATTTGGCAAGTTCCCTCACAGGAATAGTGTGGGACCAGCCAAGCCTGCCAGCCTGGGAGCACTCAGTATCCATTTTCCCCATTGACGTGTGTCACATTATCTAATAGTGTTCCTAAATGAACTCTGTCATCATCAGTAAATCTTTTTCTCACGCCTTCGACCAACTGCATTTCCCCAGGAAAAGCAGCAGGTCTCACACTGGCGTCCCCTGGCACAGTGCCCTCTGTTGCCTGCAGGAAAAAAAAAAAAAAAAAGGAAAAAAAAAAAAAAAAAAGGAAAAAAAAAAAAAAAGAAAAAATCAAAAACTTCCCATGCTGTACCTTTGCTTAAATAGCAGCAAATCTACTAAGTCTTCCGGGAGTGGAGAAAGGAGGGACTGAAAAGTGGGTGCCATGACTGCCGTGCGGTGCTTTTCAAGTGTCGGGGAAGGTGCAACACGGTCTGTGTTGCTCAGGCTTGTGAACGGCCCCTTTGCCAGCGTCCTGTCAAAGCTGACAAGTGAGTTTATTCAAGGCTTGCAGTATAAACATAAGACACAGTTATGTGGTTTACTCGTTAACTACGGTCTCCACTGAGGATAAGGAAAATGACATATGATACCTTTAAAACTTTTTAAAAATTGAGAAGTTGCCCAGTGATGGTAGTATTTAATAAACTGTGTTTTCAAGATATAATTTACTGTTCAGTCACTTGTTTAATGATCTTCCATTTCAGGATGTCAATAGCACATATTTTTTCATTGAATTCTGCCTGACACTCATGAAAATGTGAAGCTATATATAAAACAATATACCCCCCCATATATTTGGTGATAATCTGGAATAGTTTTGTGCTTCCCAGGATTATTATTTTAGATCTACTTCTAAAATAATATATATAATATTTACCTATACTTATAATATAGATGATAATATTAGATGTAAATTTCTAGATGAAATCTGTGCTTTAAGGCAGCTGTGTCAAAAGGAGAACTATTCTTTTTCCGTTCCTGGCTACCTCACTATGTTTCAAAAGCGCTTTGGGTCAAAATTCTCTCTCAGACTGGAATTTCATCTTTCTGAGATGTCTCTGTCTTATTCTATCTTATGCAAAAGGCTTTTAGGAGTTGCCTTAGTAATGCCGAGTAATGTTCTACCAAGTAGAGAATATGTTTTGACCACACTGCTGCCTGACAAGGGAGAGCTGTTACTTAATAAATCAAGTTTGCTGTCTTCTAATGAAAGCTGGCTCATGTGAAAATTTTTGCTTTTATCCCTAAGACCGAGCATCACTCTGAAAGTAAGCACCAGGAAATGCTTATTCGAACTTCTAATAATAGTCTTCTAACTATTAATAAGGCCCTTATTTTTACGTTGGTCAGGAGGCACTTAAGAAATTCAACAGAGTTTTATCTATTCTATCATTAAACTAAAAATCTAGATCAGTAGTACAATATGAACGGAATAATCCAAATTCCATGCTGTACCCTTGATATGATATTGATACAGGCTACCTGATCTGCTTGTGAAGTAGAAGATGTAGAAATGCAGCTTAGTCATGCCATTCCTCTGTTATTCTCAGGACATAGACTGCATAATTGACTACAGACATCTTAGCTTAAAAGCCATCTTAGAGTTTCATCCAGTCCTAGTAATACGTGTGCAGTCCCATGGGCTGCATCCAAGGATTATGCTAATTTTATTAGCAACTCCTCTTGCTTTAATTAAACTGCGTAAATTCCCACCTGGTCACTGTTGTGCCAACACCTTTCTTTCCATTTTTATTTTAATTTGTAGATAATCTGTGGTTTTGCGCATCCATTCCAATATGCTGAATTATCCATTGTGTTTTCCACGTTAAATAACACAATTTTTGAGGGGTGAGTAGGGTTTCAAATTGCATTAATGGGTTTGAGCAAACCTCTGGATCAAAGCAATGGCCCAAGTTTCTAAAGTCAACCAGGCCTTTGTAGGAGCAGGTATTCAAAGTAGCTTGCTGTCTGAAAGCACCAAGTTATATGTTGCTGTTCAAAATACCTGCAAGCAAGCTCTGTATTAACATTTACTTTACTGTGTTTATACCACGAAGCAGAGCGATGTGAATTCCTTAGTGAACTGTTAATTTACATGTTATACACTTTCAAATATTTCCAAAAGCAAATGTGAAATGATTAGTAATCTGTTCACATGCTCACAAAATGTTATTAGCAAAATGCCTTGGGCAGTATGTTATGTTGACTAAAATTGATAATTTTGTATTTTAAAACTAAAGCGACTTCCCCTGCCCCCAACAAATCTTAAGACCTGCCCAGAGCCCAGACCTTCTGGTCACACCAGATCTCAAGGTGTATACTGAGCTGAGGTGGGGAAAAAACCCAAGAATACCCACCCTCCCTGCTCCAATAGCAGTGATCTAAAATGTGCAGTGATTTTGACTCTTCAGAAAGCTTCACTGAAAGTATTATGCAGAGTCCTCCAGTTTAAAATGGCTTGTTATCTATAAAGTCACCATAAGGAGATGATTCTGGCATTTACCACTCATTCTACCTACATAGGTTTAAAAGTGTGTACATTGCTCTGGAGAAATCAAACCCAATTTTTCTTTTTACATCTATGTAACTTTCTGTCTCTAGCTGTGTGAGGTTCTGACAGCCAAAGTGCTGGATGAAATATCTCTCATACTTCTCAAAGAAGGATTGAGGTTGTTCTTTGTTTTAGAGAGGACTAAAGAGCAAGGTGTTTAATGGCATTTGTCAGTGTATCTCTTTTTTGTATAATGGTTTCCATGCCTTGCAGAGTCAGATATAACATGACACTTCTTCCTAAATGCCAATTATTCTGTCCAGAAGAGTTGCCCAAAAGTCTACTCCTCAAAGTTTCACACCAGCCCCACAGGATAAAGAACATGGGGCATTAAAACTCAATAAAAGCCGTTTTGGTATTAAGGCTGTGTAAAAAGCCTAGGCACTAGCTGAGTACTGCTTGTATGGCTGCAACATACTTTCCAGCAGTTTACATTTGCAGCTATGAAGTAATTGAATAAAGAAATGCATCATCGTTTTCTTTTTTAGCACATGGGTGAATTATTTTACCAACATGTGAAGGGGTGTTCATATAACATCACAGTGCTTTGTGCTAGAGAAAAACAATTACAGTGAATAAGGTAGAATGGCTCTGTTATTGCAGTACATAAGACTTTGATTACATACTGCCAAGATTCATACCAGCCTAGTAGTTGTTGACAGATAAAGTAACAAAAATGAAACTCATTTATTTTTTCTTTATTGAGACCTCAAGGTAAAGCAAATTTTCAGTTCTTGTACTTACTACATTGAAGGAACAGAGACTGACAGTCAAAATGTGCCAGTCCAGAAATATAAATTAAACCTAGTTTCATATCAAAGTTTCATTTAGTCTCTGAAAAGGAGCTGCTGCTTGGATTATTTTTGATCCTAAAACAAACACACTGTAGACTACTATAGTGTATCTTGGATGAATTAACCCCCTCATACATTTAGCTCCTATGTATTTCCCAGGACATAGACCCATGTCTATTCAAGCAATTTTAAAATTTGTTATGGCTCAATTATTTACCTTTTCTCTGTTTAGTAATAATTTACTAAGTTTGCAAACCCAGTGAATGTGAGGATGGTTTTAACAGACCATAGCACTTTTGTTGAAGGAAGGACGTATTTTGAGGAAAAAACCTTCCCTCTCCCCTTGTATAAAGAAAATTATTCTATCTTTTTACTGGGGGTTCCTCTAGGCAGCTAGATGCTGCATTATTCCTTGATAAGTCTAACAAATTACTCTTTTATTTTTTTTGGTAAACTTGATTAGTTTCTAAAAAGCAGATAAAACTAGCTGTTGAAATGGAAAGTGCTAAAATGAGTGGTTTTATCCCATCAAAATCTTGGATTAGTTACCTAGTCCAACTGAATATAATTGCTGTTCAGATTAATGAGGCAGTATTCTAGTATCTCCTCTGTAATTAAACACTTCTCTGGTTGAATACAGTATTAAAGATGCACCAGACGTTGAAACCTCAGTGGTGAAATTTAAAACTGCTGAAATTGGTGGGGTCAGCTGTGAAACACAAATTCCTCTGCAGCACGGGTAATTCACTTGTACAATGTGTTTCAAGAATAATTCAGCTGATGTTGGGGATGCTGGATTTTTAAAATTTTTCTTACCATTCCATCATCTAAATTTGAGAATTTTTCTCATTAGTTCCTGAGCAAAAGTAACATAAAGTGGACTTGTTTCCAGAATTACCTTTTCTGACCTTTCACAAGATGATAATTGCAGTACTAGTAGGCTTAGAGGACTTGTTAAAAAAATTAAGCTTATAAAGTAGCAAAAAAACGCCCCTTTGCTTGCTGGTGTCAATTTCAAAATTAACATTTTGGTTCATGTGCTTCTAATAATCGCTGACCCTTACTTCATGTGCTTTCCACAGGAAATGAATACAGCAGAAATTACTTTGACCCGTTGATGGATGAGGAAATAAACCCAAGGCAGTGTGGGATGGAGGTCAGTGAGGAAGGTGAGGCAGAATTAAGTATGTAATTTTGGTGTCAGAATATTCTTTTCCATTCATGAAAATGAGGTGACAAAGATCACATATGCAGTTCTATTTAAATATTGAGGTTTACAATTTAAATTATAAGCCTTAACCGCTCTGAACATGATAGGCAGTATACACAGTCTCTGATCAAGGACAGTAAGTTAATGGACAGCTAAAAGTGAGGCTGTGCTGTATTCACTCTGATACTGTAGCAAAATGTAGCACACTCAGAAAACATTGTCTACACCATTGTCTATTTCTCTTTAATTAACTAGGTTAGCCTAGTTAGAACTGAGTACTAAATTTTAGTTTTTTTGCAACCCTGCTCCCAAAGTCCTTCTTGGAGAACAATTTTGTTTCTGAGCTGAATGTGTGTTTGCCTAGCAAACAGAAACCCCAGAGTCGGTAAAGTTCTCAGCACATGAGGAAGCTTTTTGGGTTTTCTTTTTGCAAGTTGATCTGAGATGTTTAGCTTTGCTGTCTGTGGGCAACTCCTCCTGATAGTGAGGAGTTGGGAGGGTGTGACACCACAGAGCTCGGAGAACAGAAGTTATGCATAGGTATGAGAGAGATTAACCAGGAGGTATTGTCTAGCAGAGGAAATTCTTCTTCCCTGTCATGGCTTTTAGATAAAAAAGGGTGGGAATGGGCCTGCCTGAATTTGCATGGACTTAAGTAAGAACATCATCATGGTAATGAAGTGCTTAGCTATGCACTGAAAGCTTTGGCCCAGCTCCTGTTGTTAAGCACTAACAACCCAATAGCACGCAAGACCCAGTTCTCCTGTGTTACCTTCCTAGCCCTTAATTTTTTTAAACCTTGTACTTACTTGTACTGCAGAGACTCTAGACATGCAGTTGTAGTAAATCCAAAAAATTTTTTCTCATATAAAGGGTCTCAAAGTAGGTCACTTCTGAGAAATTTTGAGTAGGTATAGAGGTTTAAGGCAAAAACTTGTGTGACTGAGGAAAGCAGACTCTAGTGTGTATCAGTAACTTGAATTTCTGTGTACTGGTGAAAAAAATCAAGGTTTATTGAGGGTGAATTACATCTAACCCCTATAATTTCTCCATTCATTGTGTAAGATAGCAATGTAATAACTTGGAATTCAACGTCTGGCTCTGAGTTTTTAAATGAAAGACTTTTTTTTCTGTTGGTACTACCTTGGTTCATCTTATGAATAGGCTTCATGAGTCATGATCTACTTCATAACCAGAGAATGAAAGTTGTTTATATTTCTGTAACTGTACTTGTGTACCTAAAACCATGTACCGATAGAGTCATGTCAATGAGGGATACGTGGAAGTACAATTTTCACTGGGAGAAAATGTTCTCTTGCTTGTGTTGAAGAGGCTGAGCAACATACACGTAACTTTAAATGTTTGGGTTTTGTTTTTGTTTATAGATGAAAGCTCTGAGAAAGTCCATCAGGTTCCAGGGGTGGGAGTGGAGAGGTAGTTTTAGGCACTTGCATATCAGACTAGACCTGAGATCTATGTATGAACAACTGTCTTTTGGTGTTCCTCCTTTTTCTCCCCAGCAAAAATATCACTTAAAGGTTGGGCTATCACTTGTTCATTAAAGGTCTGTTAGTAATGGTACTGGCCTCAGGTTCGTTGTGTTGACATTTGAAGAGCAGCTATAATGCTATATTTACCATTACCTCTGCCAAGAGTAAATCTACCATCTTGGAGATTTTCAGAAGCCATCTGGACATGGTCCTGGGCAGCTTGGCTCTAGGTGGCCCTGTTTGAGCAGAGGGACTTGACCAGATGATCTCCAGAGGTCCCTGTCAACCTCAACCAGTCAGATACAGTAATACTGACAAACCAGGCTCATGTCTGGCTTCCTTTTCCTTGCAGAGGTGTTAAAGAAGTGGGACTACATTTGTATGTAGCAGACAGATTTCAAAGGACTGTCAGAAATGAAGTCTGGTCCTGCATGGTCATCCCCTGATTGTAAACCATTTTTGTTTACCTCCTCTTTCCAGCTACCAGCTTGTCGCTAACAAGAGAGAAAAGCAGAATGAGATGAAGAAATCAGGGCACGCATTAAAGTTAAACTCTTCTTACGACTGAAGCAAGTCAGGCCCAATGCCCAAAGAGAATAGTTGGTGAAAAGCAAATCTTCAGCCACTAACTCTATTACACAAAGTTAAATATCATTTTAATGTGTTCATCATATGGGATTCTTTAATGGGTTATTCTGTGAAAATAAAGATATTGGCAATTATCTTTTCTATATTTGATAAATTAAATTTGTTCTGGAAATTTGTCGGAGTTGATAATGCCCTGAGAACAAACAACACCCCACTATGGATTTGCTTCCCCCCTCGCCAAGGGAACATTTCAATGTTACATGCTAAATGAAATGTAAAAGATTCTGTACTTGCAGAAGAGGTTTGCAGAAGCCTCCTGCTTTAAATACTCAGTGTAACTGAAAACCTGGCTCTGAAATTTCATGGTAAAGAAAATTTATTCTTTGAGATTCTGTTGGCCACTTATAAAAGACACTCAGGTTCGCTTGTAGCTGTACTTCAATTTACCTACCTTGTATGCATTTATTTGGCCTTCTTTCCTACTTGTCTTCACTGACAACTTAGAGAAGCCAGGGACTGGGAGATCTGGAGAGAATATGGTGTCTCGGCTGATCACTTCTCCCTTGTATATAGGCACTTGAAGTGATTTTTTAGGTCTCATGGAAAAAGATATGTGTGTGTCTGTGTCCTTGCTCTTTTTTAAAATCTGCAGATGTTACTGGGAATTTGAATACCGACCAGCCACAAAACCAAAATTCATAGTGTGCTATAATAACTACTCATGCCAGATAACTATGGTAGTATGGACACCAAGGTAAAATTTCTAATAAAAATTCAAAATCACATTAGAAAAGAAAATAGGTACTTTTGATTTTGTTACTAAGAGTCAAATAGAATTCACCTGGCAATTTGTATATAAATAACTTTTTCAACTAATCCATTAGCATTATTAGTAAACTAGCTTCAGTCTGGATCCATATATATTATTGCTTACTGTTTAAAAACATATGATTATATATTTTTCATTTCAAACTATCTTTCATAACTCAGAAGAAAATGACAGTCAACTCTGCCATGAAACTAGCACTATGAAAACTATTTCAAAGTGTTAAATGGTTTCTTAACTTTTGTATTTTTATATCTTTATTCATAGTTTAAATAATGTTTCCTGAAATACTGCTGGAAGAAACAATAGATGTTTCACTGTTGTTTTCTTTTAAGATCCTGTGAAATTTGATAAGCAAATCCTGTACGCTAAATTGATGAAGCTTCTAGATGAAGAAAACAAGATTCTGGACTTCCAAGGTAAATAAAATCATTTGCATAAAGAAAAATAAAACTCTGGAGTCTGGATGTGGGGAGGAAAGTGGGTAATCCATCCCCTTGAACTCACAAGCAAAAGGGACACTGATTTTAATGTGAGCCTGTAAGATCTTTTTCCCCAAATGTTTTTGTTTTGAGTCATGTTTATGTGGTTTTAAGTGTAACTTAAGTGGCGTGCTTTCTCTAGACTGCTTTTTTTACATGTTGAATCCCACCCTTATGAAAGAAGACTGGAAATATTGCTTATGCGCTTAAAGCTAGAAATCCAGATCCCTATATAAGCTCATGAATGGGTGGGCCATTTGTCAGATGCGCAGGTCACGTCACACAGGGTTGAGGTTATCTACATAAGAATGTACACTAACAGGTGAGTAAGAAAATGTTTTCCGTGGCTTTGTTAGAAAATACAAATTGATGTTCTATCTACATTAAAAACAATGAAATGTAGAAGAGTTATTCACTTCAAGCCAACAGTCTTATGTTGGCTTCACTTATTTTTACAGGCATTATTTAACACCCAGTTGATTCATGAGACTGTTACCACCACAGCCTTTACATATGGTGCATGTCTGGTTCATCCTAGGAGAAGTGTCATACGAATAAGCCCTGGCTCAGGACTGCCCTTGTATTTTTGGGTATTCTCCCCTTCTTTTTCAGCAGAGGTCTTTTGTGTAAAATATTTTCTGTTCTTTGTATCTGTATGAGGATTTCTGATATATTTCTTTTGTACACAGGACCTACTCTGTCAGAGAGACAGAGCAGGCGGTTGCCTATGGCACTGAAGCTCCAGGAACTGCAACATGTTTTATGACTATTTAGTTTGTGAGTAACTTTGTTCTAGAAGAGTCAAGCATTTTCATTTGCCTAGGGTTGCAAAATCCCTTGAACTGGCACTGGTAATATCAGTAATATCTTTGAAACCCATTTTATTTCATTTTAATTGCAAGGAAAAGAAAATACAACCATCACAGCTAAATTCATGCAGAGAGTTTAAGAAAAAACCTTTAACAAATTATTAGCAAGCTCTCTATTTTTGCATGTTAATGTAAAGTTCCATGTTGTTGAGAAAGATTATAGCAGTGCTGCAGGTTGATTGTTGCTTTTATCCTGCAACAACATAGATGAAAATAAAAACATGTTTGACTTTGATGTCAACATTATTTCTACAGGAAAGGATGACATGGGGTGTCTGTCTGTGGTACTTATGTAGTCCCCATCTACCAATATTTATAGCATTTCACATTCTTCAATAACTTTATCATCAAAATAACCCTGTACAGTTAAGGAAAATGTCCTCATGTAATTTTACAGGCTGCCTCAGGTTGGGGTCTAGTATCTTTTCCATTAGCTTTCTGAAAGTTAGCTTCTAGGGCTCCCCCAAAGTGGTGGGAGATGGAGAGAGAAGCACCTCTGGGCAGTGGTTCATCCCACCTCATGTAAATGGCTCTTAGATGATTAGGCAAATTGCACCCTGGAAGCAGTTTTTCTCTTTCCTTTGGTTCTAGAATGGTGTTGGATAACTGACTTAGGCTTGACCACTGCTTTTTGTGTGTCTGAAGGTAGGTGAGAAGAATTTCACCATGTGTATTGTCCACTTTTAAGCAAGGGAACCAGGGAGCAAAGGGGAAGCCTTCCCCATCCATCAGTGGTTATTCTCTCCTTCAGCTAGGTGCCCTAAAACTTTATATTACAAATAACATTGATGGATATGGTTAGGGTAAACAGATGCTTTACAGATGATAATAACAAATAGTGTATTTAGAGAGAAATAAGGTTTCACCAATCTCCTCAAATGTTTATAATTTAAACTCACCAGGCATGGCTGAACTGAAAATGTCTTCTCTAACTAGGTTTATCAAACCACCATGAGAGAGGCAAAACACTCTTATTACTGTTTGGGTATGTGGGGCGTGAGGCAGGTTCAAAGCTCTCATCTGTCCACCAGCGTCTGAACACGCGTGGTGTGCTCTGCTGACAGCAACGAGTGCTGAGGCTGCTGAGCTCACTGATTCAATTCAAGGGCAAGCAAACTCATTAGCACATGTGTCTTGCACTCCGGGTGCACGCCAGTGCCGCCCGTGTGGGCATGAAGGCAGCGAGTAGGGGGGACACCCCAACTTGCTGCTGTTTTGTGTCTTGAGAGGTGCCTTAGTGCTTTTATTTCTTAAAAGTGCTGTAATGGATATCAGAGCTAGTCCTGCAGGTGAATGTTGCACCCCGTCCTAGCTGAATTTTTTTACTTTTCTTGGCTTGGGTGAATAAAGCCCAGGAAAGAGCAAGATTTTCCTGAGGAAGGGAGGATTGTGCAGTCTCCACCTCTGTGTGTGTATATCAGACTATTTATTTCTGCCTGTCTGTGTTTCTCCCTCCCAATTTTTGAACCTCTTTATCACTTCCAATCTTTTTTTTTTTTTTTTTAACAGAGAGCAAGTCTCACAGGTCTGACTTCCCCACCAGTTTTATGGAAGTGGGTAGCTGAGCAGAGCAGACAAGCATTATTAATATCTCCACTGAGGGAAAAGCTAATATGGGAGTTTGACCCTTATTAGACATCAGAAAATCCATAGAAAACTAGGATTCATTTGGTTCCACTCTTACAGAACTGCTTCTTTTCTTCATTTGACCACTGAGCTGAAAAATCACGTAGTCATACAGTCCTAATTAATAGATGATCCCCAAAGGAAAGGAAAAAATGTGGCTCAGAATTTATATAATTGTATATTTAAAGCATGTTGTCACTGAGTAACCTGTTGGTCACTCTTCTGGTATGTATTAGTTCATATTATAAGGCAACTTAAAAAGCAACATTGATTGTTTGTTTGTTCGTTAAAGATGCAGACTGTATATTTTTTTACCTAGGGATAAAATATCTCAAACAATGTAAGACTGTGATACATGAACATCTAAAATGATGATAGGTGAATACTATAAAAAAATATTTTCTATTATATTATTCTTTGGCAACAACCAAAAAATTGGAATATATTTTTTTGCAGCGTTTTAGTTGTTTGAAACTGATACACGAGGTTTTGGTGATACACTTTTTAAGCTACAATTTATACAGTGTCTTGTAGAACCAAGCAGCCAAAATGCATTTTCCATGTGGAGTACATAGCTGCTTTATACATTCAAACCCATACTGAGGTGTAGTCTGCTGGTAAACCTACTCTTTAAATTCTCATCTCGGTATATAAACCACTGCTATCTGACGGACAAATGCAGGAGTAAATGAAGTTACAAGCAGCCAAGATAATACTGGAGAGATTGTTTTAATTACAGCACAGCATCTGCAAATACAGTCTGTGCTAAGGGGAAGTGATTTAAACTACGTGGAAAGTATGACTTGCAGTGTTAAGTACAGCCAAGTCAATGAAAAGTTTGACGCAGATGCTAACAACTTGAAGCAGCCAGTTTTTAATTAGGATATCAACCTATCAATGAATTTGCTCATAAATTTTCATCCGCTTCATCCCATATGTATAAAGTAGTAGCAGTTTTATCACTGTGGCTACTTTTGTACAGCAAGGAGGGTGGAAGCTTTGTTTTGGTCAAGCGTTGTCCCCGGGCAGCAGCTCAAGCCTCTAACCTGGGGGTCACTTCAGACAAGGAGCAACCTGATGGTGACTGAGTTTCCAAGGTTTCTTTGCAAAATCAGTGTGGAAGGAATAGACCAGCTGAACAACCCTGTTCTCTCCCTGTCTCCAGCTCAGGAAAAGGAACAGTTTTTCCAACAGTGCTTAAATGAGCATAAGTATCTTTTCATCAAATGTTTTTCAAATCTGAATTGTAATTCATTTCTGTATTTTTAGCAGCTACTTCCCTCGAAAAGGCTTTTGAAAATGTTCTCTCTCTTCTCTTGTTCTTTTTCCACAAAACGTGCTTATGAGCCCAGTGTCTTCCACCAAAACTGAGTTCACTTGATACAATTCCTCACAAATATAATAAAACAGAAAAAAGAAAAAGGATAATTTGTTGAGTCACTGCACGGTCGTCTTTGTGAACTGAATGTTTTTTGATATGTAAGGACTATCTCTCTACAACCAGAGGATCCCAGGATAGGAACGTACTGTCTTCCCAGGATGTAAACATGCACTGCTCCTGTGAAAGCAGTAAAGCAGCTGATTGATACCAGCTGAGCACATGGCCCCGTGCGTACAGCACAGCATCGAGGGGAACAAGTGATGCTGGGTCTTCTCCTGTAGGCAGTGTTTCCTTTTCCAGGGTTTCCTGGATTTTCTCTCTCTTATCCAAACCATTAGTGTTATAGTAAATTTAAATGTAAATATTGTTTTGTTTCTGCAGTTAATAGTTGTAGGTCAAATCACTTTTCATTAGGCTTGTAAGATGCTACATGAAGAGATTGTGTATTCTAAGGTAATGGTTTGGGTTGTTTATATCTACTGTACACTTCCCCCCAACATGATTTTGAATAGTATCCTGTTGTAATTAAATAAAAAACCCACCCTACTTCCTGTGTGTTGGTGGCACTGAGGTGATTTAAGTACTCAGGAGGCTCAACAATTAAAGTCATTAAACAATGAGTCGTGAGCAAAACTGAAAATGTTAATAGTCTTAGTTTTATCTTTCCTTTTCTGGTCTTCATTAGAGAATGAGAGACTTCAAAGGGGAGTGAGGAAAAAAACCATCTTTTAACTGCTTTCATGTCTTAGGATGGACACAGAGAAAAAGCAAATAACTAGATATGGCAGTTTCTTTCAAAGAAAGGCATGGAGAGCTATAAAAACACACGGAAATATGAGGCAAGAAAGATAAAGTCAGATGTGGGCAACCTGATATCTGTAATTTCTTAGTGATTCTTACATGGAGAAATAAGCAAAAATAGATGTCTTTATTAATTATGACCCAAACTAGTATTAGTACTATAGCAGGTATCAATGAGAAGGTCTATTTTTTAATGTATCATGATGAATTAAACTGAAAAAAGAACACAGCTTCTCTTTAAGGTTGACTTTATGAATGGTATTTATTTTTATTTATGTGCAGCACATACCTTTTGGTTCTGAACATGTCACTGCAGTGAAATCAGGGGAATGGTGTGGGTAAGAGCAGAACCGGACCCAATTAATTAGGCAAGAGCTGTGCACACACACCTAGGGGAGGAATCTGATCCTCTGGGGTGAGTGGGAGGAAGATGAAATGCTTGGTGTGGCTCTTCCTAGAACTCCCTTTCAATTGCAGTTATTCCTGCTCTTCCTCAGGAGGAAAAGCCCAAGTTGTTCTAAATCCCAATTCCTTTAAGATTTACAGGAGAGCTAAGTGACTGTGTAAATGCAGAGCACTTCTTTTTAAAATTATTTAAGGAACAAGCTGCACGTGCTAAATTTGTACCTGTAGGCAGATGTTCCTCTTGAGAAGAGTTTTCCTGGTAATGGCACTTGGAACCTGCCAGTTGTTCTACTGCTGTTATTTATTACTGTTCATTTTATGGCATGAATTGTCTTAAAATGTTGGTGGGCCAAACATGTTAACTGAGAAGGTACTAACCAGTGAATGAACTTCCATTTGCTAAGAAAGAATCTGCCACTTTTGTTTCAAGCAGCCCATGTCGTCAGTGAAGATTTTCCAGACTCCGTGATGCCTGTCAGCTCTAGTAAGGCATGTGACCTTCACAAGGAGCTTGAATATGAAGAGATTCCTCCATATATTGAACAGTTTGAGAGAGATGTTCAGGATGACATAATTCTGCTTGGCAGCTTTTCACTGGAACAGGTCAGAGTTAAGAACTATAAGACAATTTTATCGCTTGCTCCATAACATGATGCTGGCTTGTTAACCTTGTACACCCCAATTCTATTTCACTGCCCAGTAAAACATATATTGAAAGGGGAAAAGATAACCCATTTCGTTGGCTTGCTTTATGTGACTGACACTTTGTTAAGCTAACAGCAGGATTTTTATCTTTGTCTCCATTTCATTGTGAATAAAAACAGATTGCCTTTGTTGCTTCTCTCCTAAATAGTGGAGTGTCTCTCACTGCTCTGCAGTAAGTATTGCAATTGAGTTTCAATCAAGAGCCTAAGCTTAGGACATCTCTCTCTGCCAAATTTAACATAGGCTTATTCATCTATCAATGAGCAAGTTCAGATTGGAGCCCAGGAAGGATTTATGTAGCAATATTCGTTGTACAGAGGACAAAAACTGTTGCGTTTTTCAGGGTGGCAAAGCTTCTTATGGTTTTCTTTTTGCCATTTCATAGTGTAATGATACAAGGTTGGGTTCATGTTGACAAAGGCACAAGTTTTCAGAGCTGAAATGATACTTGTGGGCACCTAGCTACCATTTGTCCCTTTGAAAAATCTCATCTCAAGATTAGGGGACAGGAAGAGAGATTAATTGATGAATCTATCATTTTTAATTAGCAACATGAGAACAGCGCACTGGCTCTGGTGGGCTTAAAATAGGTTATCCAGTGACTGATGGTGATCTAAGCTTCCTTTTATTTTCAGAGGAAGTTTTTAGAATTTTTTCACTGCAGGACTAAACCTCATCATTACCTTCTGCATGTTGGTGAGGGACAAAACTTGCTTCCTTGCAGCTTTTCTCTAAATCCTTGTGTAGCTGTATTTCATTCCTTCTCACCTTTTTTTGTAGCTGTATGCACCATGCATAGCAGGTGGTTTGGGGACTATTGTTCAAAGAACATGAAATGGGAGGGAAACATGAGGAAAAAGGGCTCAGATGGTACTAAGAGCATCATCTGCCTCAAGGGACTGATGGATTAGGAACCTGGGAACAGGTAAACAGAGTGCTGTACCTTTCCAAAAGACTTTATAATATGTTGAGAGTTCACACTTTAACTAAGTTTGGGCTATACGGATGTCCCCAAAGTTTCATGAGGCTCTGTGACACATGAAGGAACACAACAGGTTTGTCAATCCTTTGTTTACCCTCCCTCCAAACATAGCCACTGGGAGGCTGATCATCTTACTTGGACTCTTTTTGGAGGTGTTCAGCAAAGTTTGTTTCCTAGACAGGAGCAAGCTATCTGATCATCCCAAAACAACGTCCTGCTTTTTTTAACAGAAAGCTGCATGTGTGATCCACAGGTAATGCAATATAATTTGGATTTTATTCCTTGTTTTCTTCCAAAAGAAAAAAAATCCTCATTCAATGTGATTGATTGAGCTGGCCTACCATGAGCTTACAGGTAGGAACTGTATACTGCACAGAACAGATCTTGAATGCCTGTGTTTTCTGTCCATTCCATTCACACATCTCTAAATTCAGTTGTCTATGCCCTGTTTAGGAATTCAGTCATATTGACGTGGTATCAACTGTCACATTTGCATCCTGCAATGCAGAGAGTAACAAGAGGATCACTGTGAAATCTATATTATCTTCTACATCAGTGATGTATGCATCCATCCTTTCCTTAAAAGCACAGAGAAACGGTGCATTCAGCCCCTTTGAACAGAAAATAGAAGGTGACATTGGACGTAGAGGCTGAAAACATGCACCTCGTGTCATATTGGTATTCAAAGACATCTAACAGTGTGAGCATCCTTATTCTTCTTTAATTGACCTTTATTCTTGAATGGCCCATCTTTACTGTGGATATACCCCTGCAGCATTGCAGTGTTGATGCCCTTCTGCAGCAGCTACTGGTTCAGTGTTAGACTGCTGCCATAGTCTTTGGAATCTGTCATTGCTGTCTTTGGGATGCTTTCAGCTTTTGTTACTTGAATGTGTGTTCATTGGTTTGAAAAAGTTTTTAATTTGCCACATGGCATTTACTTCTTATTCAGAAAAAAACCCCTTCCCTTCCTTCTGCAGATTTAGTGAGTAGCAGATGTACTTTAGCCAGTGTAATTTATGATTAGTTAATTTAATCTGCCATAATGACATAAAGTGAGCCTGAAACAAGCTTCTATCAATTTTGCCATTAGAGGTAACATAATATTTTCAAATGTCTACCAAACTGAGTAATTAACCCTCGGGCTGAGTGAAAGAGTCTAATAGACATCTTTCTCACATTCCTCTGTTTTGACAAAATGGAAGCAAAACACGGGAGCCCAAGGGTTAAAAATAGCAAGTGAGAGTTTACAGTACATGAGACTGGTTTTATAAGCAAGGTTCAGAAACACACTTGAGTTGCTGCTGTTTCTTTTTAGGCTGCCAAAAATTCTCTCCGATGAGGCATCTGATTTGCACTAGAGCTTTGCTGACAACATTGGCATGAAGAGGAAAGCTATGTATTAACTATCTATCCCTTAGTTCATTGCCTTTCTTCTCTGCTTTGTAGCTTTACAGTAAGTGGGTGGCTTTTGTTTAAACAGCAACTCAGTGCATGAAATCACCACGATTAAAAGTTTTTGAAAGAGCAGATTCACTTTCCAAAATAATAATAATAAAAAGAAAAATGGTTTATGCAAGATTTTAGCTCTGGAACTTTAAGCTGCATTGTTACTTACTTCGTGTTCTGTTTTGTAAATGCAAAAGCTAATAGCTGAGGTTGGCAAGAAATACATAAGGGGAGATCTGATAGATTCTTGTAAAGAAAGCATTAAGCAGATGTCAGAGTTCTGTTAACAAACACATTAAAGAATATTAAATTTGGAATGCAATACTGTTTCCTGTAGGCCCTACCATGTAGGCCTACAGATTTCAAAAGCCCCAATGACATTTGCTTTTAATAAAGAAAAATAAACTCTATTGAGGGAAAATCATAACTTTGGGACTGTGTTGTGGTAGAAGCTGAGCAGGTACAACCAAGGCTCGGTATGCAGAATGCCGCAGGAAACCATCTGTCATGAGACAATGCAGGGACCCATGCTTATGGGCACAACTTGATCTTCCAGAGAAGAGAAATATCTAAGAAAAGACTTGACGTAATGCTGGCTTAACATGTTTGATTAAAGACAAGATGGTCTCGAAACATGAGAGACTGCTGAGGATGAAGCAAACACTGGTGATTGGGGTGAGATTGCACTTGATGGGCCTTTGGCAACATAATCTAGCCCATCATTAATTCAAATGCCATGGAAAAATACTAGCTCTAGGATTTTCAGCTGTTTCTGAACTGAGACAATAAAAGTGACTACTCGGCTTTATGTAGGCTCAGGAAAAAAATAATAATGGGGCAAGGGAAAAGATCAATACTGCCCCAGAAGTCAAGCACATCTTTCCTTCTTGGCCATCTTCTTTGTGTAACTTTGTCAGTATTCTTAGCTAAAGGTAATTTGTTCACAACCTCCATCTCTCTGTGCAGGACTCAGCTGCTACATTTAGCCCCCTGTGCTGCGTGTAACACCTTGCAGGACTTGAGCATTACAACTATATAATCAGTTTTGATCCATGACCTCAATGTGAATTACTCAAGAGCCTCTGAAAGTAAAGTGCAAGTTTTACTCTTCACTTTCAGCAGTTGAATTATAGTAGTAAGAAATGAGCTATTTGTTGCAGGTGGATAGTAATAAAATGTTGTCTTTCATCAAGAGATTTACCTTTTGGATAAACAGAGGTTAATGCCTCTGGGCATTAGACCTAATATTCTTACAGGGTCAATATCATCACTGCTCTGACTCCTTGCCAAGTCACAGCAAGATCAATTTATATGATGATGGAGTGATCAGTTTTCCTTTGGTTAACAGTGGATAATACATGGGTAAAATTTGATACTATGTGAGATGATGACAAATCTACCCTCCAATCAGGAATTTAATCAGTGAGATCAGGCCTCAGTCATATAAAACACTGATGCACATTTGCTTGCATGTACTACCCCATTGGATAATACTGTTGTTCATACCCTGATGGTATGTGCAGACCTCCCCTCATCAGAGCCATAGCATACTAAGTATTGCACAATCCTTTGTGATCATTTTTTGCGAGTGTAGTACTTGTGTGAATATATGCACCTAAGAGTAATGCAGAATTGAAGGTGACTTTTCCTCAGTCAAAACCTAGCTACTTCTTTTTGATATTTGTCAAGATTTTACATGACTGTCATGTTCAAATGAGTCACTTTTTTATTTTACTGAGAATTTCAGGTCAAGAATACAAAAGCTAGCAATGTTTCATTTACACCATGTCTTAAAAGTGGGTGACTTCATTTTAGGTAAGCTACCTATATGCTACACTCATTGTTTGAGTGTCAAAGCACCTCTACAGTCTGTTAGTATAATGTTTTCCATTTCATTTATATGATATAGCAGGAATTATGGGTATCTCCACTTTACAGAGGAAGAACAAGGGCACAGATAGACTGAAATCTACTCCAGTCAGAAGTACTTAGCTTCTAATTTCCTTTTGAAATCTGTCATTAGGCCAAGCTTATCGAATTCATTATAGTCCTGCCAGGTAGACTGCTCTTGGATTGGTGAAAAAGCACTTAAATGAAACCCATGTTTAAGGGGACAAAATACAAGGTGAACTTCCCAAAGCCTGGGATATTTGGATTCTGGTTCTTGAACTTCTGATGTCCTGCCTAGTGAATGTTCATGGCTCTTGTGTGTGTCAGCACTCACCTAGCAGATCCAAAGCCTGACCAAGATGCCAGTATGTGTAGTTAGGGGACTTCTCTACCCTGCAGGCTGGCAACCCGAGATATCAAAATATCTTTATTCTATCAGGCTTGCTCCTCCTTGCTCAGTGGGAAGCTTGGGAACCCTCTGAATTTCTAATGTTCCTCCCTCATTGCTTCTGGACACTCAGTTATACATACTTTTTTTTTTTTTTTTTTTTTTTAAGAAGCGGGGAAAGGGGAAGGG